AAGAGAAAAATCTTATTTCCTTTATAGTAAATAATATTTCAGATTGTATTTAATATGATTCTTAACAGGGAAAATGGTAGTTTACCTTGAGGCTTCCTTTTACCTTGCTAAACTAAAGGTATTTGCCAAAATACCACAGTGTTCCCCTCTTTTTAATACAAACCAGAGTATTTTCAATTAGAATATTTTCAGTTTTCGCTTAGGAATCATTTTCTGGAAGCTCTGAGACTATTTGTCTGGGTGTTCCACAGGACACCACAGTAACTTTCTCTTGGAATTGAAATCAAGTGCTGCAACTGGAAATTAAAAGTGCCGTGAGGCTATCTTTCAGATATTTCAAAAACTCCTATTCACTTTATCCCTTTAGAAAACACAGATCTGAAGCAAAAGTAGTTTTAGTATTGCCTATAAGTCCCAATAGTTTACCATCATTTGGACTTGCATGCTTTTTCATTACAGAAATGTAAAATGGTTCAATTTAATGTGGTTTATGAAAACATCTCATTATCTATCAGCTTCCAAATTTTCCAACTAAAGATAGAACCCAATTAACTGAGTGACTAGTAGATGATACAGGGAAAGAGAAATTTAACTTTCTTACCTGGAAAAGCCATCTGCGTATGCTGCTTGACCTTTTGGCCCCAATGCCTTTCATGATGCCTAATACAGTAGGCAGTCAAGATATATGTTCAAGAAAACAATGAAAGAATCAAAGACTTACATGTGTACACACATACACATATATGTGATGAAAGTTCTCCCATATTGATCTGCAAATTTAGCATATCACCATCAATCTCCACAGGATTTTTCCAGATATTATTTTTTGCCACTTTACCAGTCAAATTTTAAATCAACTCTTCCTCTTAGCATTGGTCAGCCATGTACTAGATTCTGCTAATTACTGCAATTACCTGCCAAGTTATTACAGAAAATGAATGAATTGTACATTCACAAAAGAGGTCTTTCCAATGGTCTTGATGTGCCAGAGACAATATGTAAGTTTACAACCATGGTAAAAAAATTAAAAGGGTAGTTAAATTTTAAAATGTTCTGGTCTCATATTCATTTCTTAAAACAACTTTTAGCTTATTATAGATGTCAGTATTTCAATTCAAAACTATGAAAATTTTAGCAACATTCTATGTGACAACTGCAAGATGCATGTATCTAGATTTTCAGAAAATAACTCGAGTGAATACTCAAATAGAAGTTTCTTTACCTCACTGCAATAAAACTGTAGTTTCCTCAAACATCTCTAATTTACAAAGAGACAGCTGTCACTATTCCTTAGTATAAAGAATAATTTTCCAGGACAAGAAAAAATAACTCATGGGAGCAGCGGGTTAAAGCACAGCACAAAGAAGCTAAAGCCTCTTCAGCATAAGTTCGATCTGCCTCCTGGGAGGTGGTCCACATGGCGCAGCAGATCTCTCCTGACTGGCCCGCTGCTCTCTTCAGCAGTGTGCTTCCTTGATCTGCCTCTTCTGCTCCCCATTCTGTCTCTGGTGATTCCACCACCCCTGCACCTCTGACCTGTGCTATATGCGTAAATAATCTATTTTAAAAAAGAAAAAAACCTTTTATGTTTTGCACCAAAAATTGGCAATGCTTTTTACTGTTCAAAACCTATGTTGAGCAGTTGCTAACAAAATATAAAGACTCAGAAAAAAAAAAGGGGGGAGATAAGGTATGTCTCATTCTTTCCAAATATGTAAGTAGTAGAAAAGCACAATTTTAAAGTGCCAGAACCCAGCAAGCCAATGGAGTGTTATTCTTTCACTTACATAAACTCCTTGACCCTGTATTAACTACAGTATTTCTTCATGTGTATTGGACTTGACTGTAAGAAAATTAATTACTTGGGCCAGAAGTAATCATGTATGATGAAAAGTTCCTCTAGCAAAAGCCATGTTTGCAAATGAGCTAACTCAACCCTAACTATCCAGCGGCTAAACTTTACATTTATGTCACAGCAACGGAAGATATACACTGCACCTATTTGACTGATTTTGCCTTCCTTTCTAATTAAGTATTCACAAGGCTACAAAGGGACCATAACATTCATAGTGTATTTTCCTGGTTCCCTACCTATGGAGCTCTGGTAAGGAACTATTTGACTTTACTAAGGAAGGAAAGTTATGGTCATGCCCCAGTCAATCAGGAATAGGATAGGATAGGAATCTACCTATGACTAGAAGAGTTTACTTCTGACTTTCAACTGGAATAAGTAGAGGTTAATGTTGATTAAATTAAGACCTTTACTGTAATTACTCATTACATTGAAAAATTATTCAAAGAACACATAAGATAAAGCCTTTTAAAATCACATGATAGATCTTTATTTATGCAATAGTCAGTTGCCTGTAGATGTTTGGATAATGAAAATCTAGACTAACTCCAACCATACAACTCTACTTCTTGCTTCTGCCGTTAAAATATACACATTAGAAATCTAGGTTCCAAATACTTCCTCTATTGAAGATAGTGAAATTCACCTAGCTACAATTTTTGAAAATTTATAGAATGTTCACAGATGATGATGGAAGAGACTTTTATTTAAAAGACATAATCATATTTTTAAAAGCCTAAGTTGACCTGATTTATTTTCAAATAAAGAGTGGATCCATGTTCCATACACAAAAGATTTTATAAAATACGGTTGACTTGCACTTAAACATTTTCATGTAAAAACTCCACACAGTGCAAGAAAGTGATTGCAGTGAAGTGTGAAGACACCCAAAGTCAGTATTTCAAGGACAGAATATTTTTGTAATTCTTCCTTTAAAATATTGGCACATACATGAAATGCCCATGTTATAAAAAAAATCACTTAGTATCCACTTACTGCTGCAGTGAATTTTGATATCTATACCACATCATACTAAGTGCTGGTGGACAAACAGTATAAGAATCTAAAAACTGTTTTCAGGTAGCACACAATGATTTAAAAACAACTAGGAAAAAGCAACCCCCCCCAAATATTTTTTGTATGTAATTTTATGTCCATTAACACAAAGACAAAGTAAAAAAATGCCTTAAAAAGCAGTTAAAGGAAAATATTTCACTTTTCCTTTGAAAACACCATTTCTTCTTAAATAGAGGGAAGAGCTTTAATTTGGGGTTGGGGGTAGGAGGGTGTTTCATCAGTAAAAACATCAAGTTAATGTCAAGTTGTACAAATGTCTCATTTAAGGAAGAAATCGAATACTCTGATTCAAAGGATTCTAAAATATTTCACCATTACAAGTGTAATTTAAAGCTAAAAAAAAACTATAACACACTGAACTAACAGAAATCATCTATTAGCATATCATATTGTTTTTTTCACAAAATCCATAATTAGGGAATGACAGGCTAGGTAAAAGATCTCCTTAATATTTGGTCAGATTAGCTGAGCTCAGGCAAACCACACACCCAGAGTTTCAGATCATCCCTCTCACATGAGGGGCCTGGGAGCTGCCCTTCAACACCCTGCCAATTGACAAATCTATATAGAATTGTTCAGTTTGTGTAATCCTTTCAAGAATGAGGTACTTCAACTCAAAGTATTTTCTAGATAAATAAATCCCCCCACTAAAGCAGTAAAGCTGTTCTTTAGACATTTAAAATATTACTTTAAAATTTATTTTCAATGCATTTCCCTGTCATTTTTAAAGATGAGGTATAGTCATAACTAACAACAGTCTCCTGACTACATGGGTCTCCTGAATGTGGCAGCTGGCAAGAGGGATCCATCAGCAGATATGACCTGGGCCCTGGTGCCAATCCTCTGGACCACACTCTGAATCTCAAAACAAGGATGAATACCACCAGGCTCTCTATGGCTCTATAACTCTCTATTTGAAAGCCCAATAGTTAACGCATTAAACTACTTGTAAACCACAAATTGCCATATGAACACAAAAGACTGCTGTGATAAGCCCAAGATGATACTTGGGTTTAGAAATATCTAAGTCAATATAAAGTCTAGATACCTTTTTGTAAAACACACATAGATGACGAGTCTTGCACACTTATGGTTCTGTACTCTGGTTACCTGACTGTGCTCCCAGTCTGTCTCCTGCTTCTAGTGACACCAGACTTGTAATTCAGTTAGTCTCTCCTTCAGTTTAAACTATGACTTTTCGATAAATGAAACTGAAATTTAAAAGTTTATCATTTTTGCAAATGTGGTATCATCATTTATGTACTTTAAGAGTACTTCCTTGACTGAGGCATCACACTCACCTAGGAAGCATTTTAAAATTTAAGATCTGAACTCCTGCCACAGAGTTCATATTGAATCAATTTGATTCAGTATGTTCACAATAGGACCAAAAAAAAAAAAAAAAAAACCACCTGTTTCTCAAAAGTTCTCTCAGATAATCACAACACTGGATAGTTGTTCAGTTCTGGGGACTCAATGCTTTTTCCTAAATTTCTCTAGAATTTTAGTAACTGCCAGTTTGTTTCAATATAAAAAAACTCCCCTTGTGTTCATCATAGGCATATTCAAAAGTAGAACCTTCATGATCATGACTGAGGTCCATTGCAGACTAGTTACTACCATCTATTTGCAAAAGAATTTTAAAATGATAAATGACTTTCATAGCTAAGACAATGCATGCAGATGCCGAGAAGTAGCTCATTCTAAGCTGCCTGCTTGACCTATAGTTGTTAGTCACTTGTATACCTGAAGACCATCTTATTACAGCTGTCCCCAACTGAATAAAGGATCACAGAACTCCTCCATAAAACAGAAAGATGGGCTAACAAGCTAATCAGTATTATTAAGAAAATGTTTCTAGCAGACACAAAAGTATTAGAAAAAAAAGTAGCCTCCCCTAGAAACTCAAACACACCCATGCTTCTGAAGCCTACATAAAGAGGAAATCTCACTGAAACCATGGATATTTAAAAATATGTTCAAATAATTGTGAAAATATAAGTACAATTTCATCCTTCAGGAAGCCTAACAGGCATAAATGCTAGTCAAACAGTTAACTGTGAAAACAACACATGGGATATTTTGGTATAGTTCTGAACATTGTCCCTTCCAAATTTAATGCAAAAGCCACATTTGGTTTTTCCGGGTGTTGAGTGTATCTAGGCACTGCGGAATGTCGTCATGTCCTTTGGTTCTCTGCTAGGGACACACCAGTCGTCAGCCTCGTGGTTGGTGTTGTAATGCTTCCAGGCAGCTTTGTTGTACACTGGGAGTCTTTCTATGGATTCTGTTGACAGAGCCTAAAAGATAAAAACAGGACCTAAGTCTGGCATTTTTTTTTTCCTTTTTAAAGATTTATTTATTTATACATATAAGAATGGGGTACAGGTTAGAGGTGCAGGGGTGGTGAGAGGCTTCACCAGAGACAAAGTGGGTGGCAGAACAGGCAGATCGGCGAAGTACACGACTGAGAGGAGCAGCGGGCGGGTCATGCGAGGTCTGCTGAGCCATGTGGTCGCCTCCAGGTCCAATATCGAATTCGCACTGAAGCAGCTGCGCTAGCTTGCAATGCTGTGTCCTAACCTGCTGCTAACCAGGGAGAGCGAAGTCTGGCACTTTTTAGAAAAAAATCCATTACTTGAGAAAATATATAACTGCAAAAAGGTTAGTACAAATCAAACAATACTGAATTTACATTTTACTGATCACACCATCTACATACATTTTAATGCACACACGTATTTGAAATGTGCTAAACAGTCCTAAGGTACTGCTTGGTGTGCGTGTTAACTTTGTTGCTGCTTCTCCACTCAGCCTGGTAGTTGCAGAATTGAAACTTTAAACAGATGTAAATGACACTTATAAAACATGGCCCAGAACAAAAGTTGGTTCACTAAAAATATCAGCTAAATATAAATTCATAGAAATTAACCTATGTATCTTAATACTGTATTCAGATAATCATTTAATGAAATGTATTTTAGTTATTAGAATACTATTTTTTTCCAAGACAGTCATTATACTTTTAAAAATACATTGTAAAAACATTACTATCAATCAATTAAAAACTATTAGTATGTCTAAAAGCATCCTGGTTTTTTTTTATGAACAATTCATTGTCTGGGTTTAATTCTATTTCTCCTCCTGCCATTAAAATAACCAATTTTAGATATAGCATATATATTTATATGTATCATGCATATTTTCATTTTCCAAAATATTAGCTTAATTCATTGTCCTACTTCAGTTTCCTGTAAATCACTAGAAATTGAGATAAACTAAGTTCTTTGTTACCTACTTCAAGTTAGGGTATTTCAATATTTCAACCTAAAGTGATAGCCATTCCTCAAGATACAGAAATATGGAACTGGAAATGTCAGCCCAATAACACTAAGAAAGTGCTTTGATGCTGACTTTAATGATTCTTTACGACCACTTGTGTTCTATTTTTTCCAAAATGGAACTAAAAACCTTATACTTACATATTCTCTTAAACAAGCCAAAATTACCAGAACCCGACTTAAAAGGCAGAAACAGGCTGGATCAAAAATATTGTCTGGTGATAAAATAATGCCTCTGTATCACCCTCTTAAACTTCTTAACAATTTAAATGATTATAAATAAAAAAAGAAAAAACTGTTCTCTTGAAAGAATTCAACCTTTATAGATAAACTTCACTTTTTCTAATAGTCGAGCATTTTCTACAAAACAGGTGCCATCTAGTGGCAGAACAAGAAACTAAAGCCACTAAATAGGTATCAACAGCCCCACTATTCAACCAACCCAAGGGGTTCATAGAGGCCCAGAGCATTCCATTCCTGTAAAATACACTGACCCCTCCCTCCAGCGACACCTGCACCAGCCAGGCAAGTGGACTAAATGTGTCTGCCCCCACCAGTAAGCCTCTGCTTACCAAAGGCAGGTGTGCTTTGCAGCATTATTTTTTTATTTTTATTTTTTAAAGATTTATTTATTTATGCATACAGAACTGGGGTACAGGCCAGAGATGCAGAGACAGTGAGAGGATTCACCAGAGACAGAGTGGGGAGCAGAACAGGCAGATTGACAAAGAACACTGCTGAGGGGAGCAGTGAGGGAGACAGGAAAGGTCTGCTGTGCCATGTGGGTCACCTCCGGGCCAGGGATCGAACTCACTGAAGTGGCTGAGCTACAGCTAGCTTGCAGTGCTGCGCTTTAACCCGTTATGCCACCAGGGAGAGACTTTGCAGATTTAAACGAAAAATCCCAAAGGATAATGTGCTTGCTCATGTCTCTGCTTAAAAGAAACCAAAATGATGTATACAGTGTTTACAAGAAAGACAAGTGAAACTTCAATCTGCAGACCCAGATGCAAAGAAAAGGTGTTCGGGTCTATAGGTGGACCAATATCCATTCACCTGTTTATGTCAAAATTAAACTTGCAAAATATATGACCTTATATGGTTCCTGACTTTAGCCCAGCTTTTTTCTATTAAGAACCATAGTCCTGATCAAGGACTTTCCCCCTCCAAATCAAGGAAATCGTTTATAAAAATAGATGAAATCTTATGATGTAAAAAATCATAATGTTTTGATATCTTCATAGTATGAGGTAGAGTTAAATCTCATTGAGTTGAATACTGGCATCTTTTCTTATAATAAAAAGGTCTATTATTAAATCAAAAAGTTATTACCTTAATGTAGATAACAGCATCCGTCCCATAACCCTCTAAGGAATATAGCTTTAGGTCTCCTTGGAAGTATTGCGCGTAAAGCCGTGAGATGGGCAATCCATAACCAAAACCAGCCTGTTTGATGAAAAAAGTGATTTATATTTAGATAGCCACGTGCTGAAATAATTTTCTAGTAAAAGTAAGTGCCACTGAGTATCCTATGGCTGCAGAATCTGCATCTAAGAAACCTGTAATCCTTGCCTAAGAAACCTGTTAATTCTTGCATGTGAATATGATCATGCTGAAGCTTAGTTGCATTCTGTTACTAGATGACTGCCCTCTGGTCATTTCAGTCTCTCACTTTTCTTTGTTCTATAAAATGACTTGTGGGGTCTGGAAAAAAGCATGTTACTTTTCTTCAATGGCCTGCTCTAGAGGATCCCAGTACTGCCTTTAGGTACTACAAAAAATAGGTTCTCACTTTTAGGAGCAAGAGTAAAATATAGCCTTGTTACAGCAACAGATTTATCTCATGACTTCATGTCATAAATTCTAGCCTATTCGGAACCTGGAGAGATCCATAACAGTCTACTTTCTAAATTTCCACTGACAAGTCATTTCCCTGCTTGAAAATCTTCAAAGCACAACCCTCCACTGCCATCCATCACCTTAGAGATAAAAATCCAGACTTCTGAAAGACGCTTTCAAGAATGATAAGATCAGGTCTGGCCACCCACTCTCTAGTTCAGCAGAACCAAACCTCCTGCTTAGTTCCTCAAACATATCATTAGTATTTCTTACTTCTAGATCATTATTCATCTTGTTTCTAGTATCTGAATTCATCTTGCTTCTAGTAACTTCTTTACCTGGATAAAACCAACCATGTAAAAATGGCTTTTCATCACCAAGTCAGAAGAGTTTGATGACACTGTCCATAATACTTTAGTTAAGAGCTTATGTGGATTCAAGAAGCATCATGCTACTACCCAATCTAGGCTTCAATTTTACCTGCTTCCACCATTTTATTACTTGACTTTTCTAATCATTTTCTAACTCCTCCAAGTAAACTACCCATTCACCCTTTTCTCCCTGGCCTCAGAGGCTAACCTGAATCGATGTTAGTGTATTCTTGTGTCCTCTGTTTCCAATGGGTTTAGTCAATGGGGACCCCAGGAAGATTTCGGAGGGAATTCATTCCCCTGCTTCGTTTCCACTAAGACTGATTCTCATGAGAGTAAGCAAGCAATTTTTTTCCTTCTTTATAGGTCCTGCTAATTTCTCCTTTTCTTCATCCATTTGATCAGTCTGGTGACAGACTTACTGTTGTCCTGGATTCCCACACTATCCCTATCTTCATCTCTGTATTTCATCTTTTTGTAAATAAGTCTTCTGTGAATGATCTCTTCCTTTTGGGGATACTGACTGATGTATTAGTCAGTTCTAAAAATTGCCCCAAGAAAGCTGCATGAGCAGATGGTTCAGTATCCCATAATTTACCTAAACACAACCTCTTCCTCAACCACACCTGTGGCTGAAGGGCTCACCTATGGAATCCTCTATAAATACTTAACAGTGAAGAAAAACAGCAAGTTTCAGTCCAGTGGTGAGCCCACACAGTTTGCAGGCCCCAGACAAAAGCTGACTCCCCTTTTACTCTCCCCTCTCTCAAGAGCAGACCTGAAAGATGGGGTAGACGTAAATCCTACCACCGACACAGTGACAGGCAGACACAGGCAGTGGCAAACAAGCTGGCTGACTGGTTAGGGCGTTAGAAAGCATGCAACTGGGTAACTGATGAGGAGGAGGTCTGGAAGGGAGAAACAGAAGGGTCTGCAATGAGTGGGCTTCAAGTGTTAAGGTGTCTGCCCATGTAGATGCCTCTAGCAGGCATCCATGAGGCGGCGGCTCACAGTCTCAGTGGACACGATGACCACACTTGTGGCATTAGGCAGTCTTTCTCTTGTTGCCCCACTTTTTGCTTTCTGGGACACTTACAAGCTGCTCATGATATCAGCAAGGACAGTCTATCAGAGCTAAGTAACAATCTCAAACTCACTGAGCCTGTGTAAGTGTATAGAGAAGACCAGGTCATGTCAGGTCTCCTATTTTCTTAAAAATTCTTACAATTCTTGTATCCTAAACTACAAACACTTATATGGCATTTACTGTGTGTCAGGCACTATAAAAAGCATTTCTGCATATATTACTAATCTACACAATAATAGAATTTTTAAAGTTGGAGAAACTGTTATACTGAAAAGTCAATAATTTCCCCAAAGCTACAGTTTAGAGGTAGTGCACTCGGGTAAAGAACAAGTCCATTTGTACAGAGCCTGGACTAGTACCTATGTCACTACCCACAAAAGTCCTACAATATCTATTTTATAGAAAACAGCCTATTCATTCTTATCCCCTTACTTTAAGTGAATGCTTGTGATTATTATTTGGCCCAGTCTGTTCCTTGGCTATGGATCTCTACTTTGAGAACAGCATATCTGAACTTGAGAAGCACATGTGGGACAATCCTTTTTATCTGGTTAACAGTTATGGAACAAGTACTTTGTCACAGGTAAAGCTACTAGAATGAAGTCCTTTCAGAACTTCCTAGTAAGAGTCTAAAAACTGATCTATCATGTACTGTAACTCATTGTACTACAACATAAGTCTAGTGTACATCCCAGAGATGTTACAAAGTTTAGAAGGACAGAGTTCTTCCAGAATTACAGTGCAGAGGTTTGGCAAAGTGCTTTCTTGCAAGTTGGAAGGCAAGGATAGAGTCAATTCAAAAACTAATCTTATTCAACTTGAAAACAGAGAACAAAAATTAATTTTAAAAACTTCAAAAAATTGTAATTTAACTCATCTTATTGTTGAAGAAACTGATTAGAAATTGAGTCTTTTTTCTGTGTCTAGAATAGGTAAGTACTCAAGAAAAACAACCCATGCTTAGTTTATTAGTGTTGACAAAATACTAGTAAAACTGGAACTTCAGTTTTCATATTAGAAATGGTACATTTTGATAGGTCTGCCACATAGGAAATGCCATATAAGTGTTTGTAGTTTAGGATGCAAGAATTACAGGAAATAACACGATATATTGCTGTCATGTTAACTACTGACCATTGCTCTCAAGTGTGATGATGAGAACTCAAACAATACTCTGCCCTGTGATTTTTTTCAAGTAAAAAAATCGTAACTGTCTAAGGTTGTTTAAATTTGGAGGAAAGTGTTTTCCTTCAGTAGCTTCCATTAACTTAACTGATTTAGTTTGTAAGTGATTCATTTTTTTGGCAATTCACAAAATCACACTTCATCACTTCTTAATCACATACCAGGGGTGCCGCTCGGGACGTCTCAACGCGAGGTCGGGGTGCAGTGGAGTACATGTAGTTGAAGAGTCGGTCAATTTTTCTCAAAGGAACACCACCTCCTCGGTCACTCATCTACGATGAAAAAGGATCAGGCTGAATGACCAAGTCCTATAAATAGCCGGATACCAACATGCATTCATAGTGTTACTATTTAACTGTTGGTGGAGACTGCTGCTTTTCAAATGAATACCACATAATCCATGTTGTGAACATTTCCCTTATGAGTGGACCTAACACAGCCCCTCTATTGTGTGGAATTCTAATAAATAATAAACTCCATCATAATATACATTCAGTGCTGTGGCCTGGTATATTCGCTGAAGTTGTACTTCCAGTGCAGTATGGCATGAAGTAAAGCATAAATTAAACCTATCTTGGACACCAATGTATTTATTTGTCCCTTTCTGGTGGAGTTAGTTGGCAACCAGATTAAAAATACAACGTGTATGGAACTAGGGATACTGTGCTAAGTGAAAATACTTCAGTAGGAGAAAGACAAATACTGAACAATTCCACTCACATGCAGAATATAAAGAAATGAAAAAGATGAAACTAGACCAAAACAAAATGAAATTCTGGAGCTACCAGAGGGAGAATGATGTGGGGGAAAGAGGAGGACCAAAGTGGGGCTTAGTGGGCTATGATAGAGGATTATGGGTGCTTAGGTGGTGGGTGTGGTGTGGAAACATACATCTGCTGAGCTGTGAACCTATACTTTAAATCATATACAGTATTGTAAACTACTGTTACCTCAATAAAAAATTTTTATGCTGTTTTTCCTAATGTCATAAAAATATGCAGTTTTTCTAAGAATATTCACTGTATGTGAATAACTAAAACTACATTACAACCTAAATAAGAGACTCTTTAAGTAATGTATTCTAAAACAGAATGTAATTTAGTTATTAAATATTATGCAGTACTTCATGTATTGGCATGGAAGATGACCACAAAATATTGCTATGTAGTATAAAGCTATGAAGAGCATTTGGAATAGCTAATTGTATAAGAATTAATGGTATCTGTTTATGATGATTCATAATATCATTATCTATGGGATTATGAGCAATAACTTGGATTTCTAGTTTTTTAATTTCTTTTACTACTTATTGCTCTTATTAAGGAAAGAAACAGAAGGCCTCCCTGGTGGCACAGGGGTTAAGGTCTCAGCACTATCATGCTATCTACAGAGTTTAATCTCCAGCCAGGGAGGTGACTCACAGCAGACCTCTCCTGTCTCACCCGCTGCTCCCCTCAAAAGTGTATTTCAGTAGATCTGCCTGTTTTGCACCCCACTCTTTCTCTGGTAAATCCTCTCAACAATCATTCCCCCGTACCTGTGACCTACATTCCAGTTCATGTATGCATAAATAAATCTTTAAAAAAAGGAAAAGAAACAGTGTAATTTTCATTTTCAGGGAGGAAAAATCAGAACCACTTCATCATATTTAAGAGTTTTATCTAAAAACAAATGCACAGTAAAGGCTTCCAGGCAACTTTCCAACATATTTATACACACTTTCTATTGTTCTTACAACACTTAACTCAAATTTTAAGGTAAGTTGAAACAGTAATTTACTCATAGATTGTCTTCATTTGGTTTTCCTTCACAGTTAACATGGGCTTAATTTTTCTAATCATTGTCACAAAGTCTACATTGATGCAACTAGCTATCACATGAATGTAGCTGTCATATAAAAACAAGTTTGCCTTTAACATGTGCATATAGATCCAGAGATAAATTAGTATTCACTGATATATAATAAAAAGTCAACAGGCTGCATGACTTACAGTGACTTTTCATTTAGACTTTAAAAACTTTATACCACACATAGATATTTTAACTTTTAAAAGAAAAATTTGCTCAATATTATTTGAAGACTTGCCTCTGATATATCTATTGCAGAATGAAGGTATATAAGGGCTTTATTAAACCCTATACATAGCATCACACTTAAAATTGTTCTTGTCTATGAATTTAAAGTTTTGTTAAAAGATTTAATTTTAGTCCGATGACTAAAGAACCCTGGATACTCTCTGAAATTCATCAATTTGTTAATTATTCATCCTTTAATTCTCTGCTGCACATTTGCTGGTAACATGAGCAAGAAGTGTGGGTGTTCTGTAAGTATTAAGCAAGTAAACAACATATTAGAATACTGAGTTGAAAGGTTAGACCTGCTAAATATTTCCAGGTGTTCCTTAGCCTTTTGACCAGAAAGACTACAGCAACCCAGCAGGAGTTAAACAAGGAGTGAGTTCTAGCCACAGACTAAGATGAGTAAAGGAGAGTTGCTGAGCAAAAAGGGCAGAACCTGGAGAAGCTTCATCTTATTGGAGTTCGTGAAGGGAGACAAGCAAAGCCCTAGGATTACAGTTCAAAACTCATGAAGTTAACCTTCTTTGCTTTGCAACCCAACGCATAATAATTGGACATCAGCAATTATAATTGGACATCAGCCATAATAATTGGACATTCACTTTTGAGTGGTCAAAAGAATTTGAGTGTTCTAACAGATGATATTACAGAGGATCTCAGTTCCTTAGGAAAAGTGAAGGACAGAAGAATGCGAGGGACAGACATTGGACTGATGCATTTAAGATAAATGGTTCCCTGGTGAAACAAAATGCTGGAAGAAGACATGAAAATGAACAAAAACAAAAATTCTCGATTAGGATAAACCTAAGGGGGAAAAAATCTAGACTCTTGGGAACATAAGCCTATGTCAAAGAAAAGGACTGGGTCTTATGAAGACAAAAGGTGGTGCGGATTCACACCAAAAGGCCAGGTGAGGAAGAGAAGTTTGCGTTTATTTTTAAAGTGTTCTCTTTAGTGCATGAAATTACCACTGACCCAAGAGTTGTCATCCCTAACTTCCTGTTCCCCATAACACTGGACTCTCTGGGCTAATTTATGTGAAAGGAACTACTACTAACTTGATGACAGTTCCAAAGCCAGGAAATTTACTAACCCCAAACTCACCCAGAGCCCCTGAAGTCTTTTACCCAAGAATTTTCCACTGTCAAGTCTATAAAATCTGATTTTAATCCTCTGGGCTACGCATCCTGGAGTAGAACTGCCGGGTAACATAAACCTTTCCTGACATCCAGTAGCCAGAATTCTTAAGCAAAGAGAGTTTACCAACACTGAACAAATCTGTGCTGAATGCCTCAGAGCTTGGTGAACACTGACCCACACAGGGAAGGGAATCAAATTGGTGCATGAGAACATGTTATTTTAACAAAACCAAACAAAACATATGATACATGGAAAACAAATGGTAAGATTGCAAACAATTCTATATAACTGAAATTACATTAACCAAACAAAACATATGATACATGGAAAACAAATGGTAAGATTGCAAACAATTCTATATAACTGAAATTACATTAACTGTAAATGGCTTGATACTACTAAAAGATGGACACTGGCGGGACAAATAATATAACATGAACTATCCATATGCTGCATACAAGAGACATACTTTAGAATAAAAGACACAAACAGATTGAAATGCGAGTTTGGAAAAAGACACATCATAAAAATAAAAGCTAAAGAGAGCAGGCAATATTCACAACGTTGTGAATATACTAAATATTCACAACGTTGTGAATATACTAAATAATTACTGATATATATATATATATATATATATATATATATATATACTTAAAAAATCTGAAATGTACACTTTCAAGAAAAGGAATAATCAATCCCTTCAAAATTTCACAAGATGATTATTTTCAATCTAGAATTCCATGGATAAAATTAAATATAGAGAAAGTGGTAAGTGAGGATGGGTGGGAGAGGGCAGATAGAATGTTCTGAGATCACTAACTCCTCAGCTACTGTGACAAAAAACTAGTATTTGTTGTTTAAAATATTTTAATTTAGAAGCCAGCAATTAGTTTCTAAAAATATGGTGGTAAATTCAAGAACAACTCAGAGTAGTGTCCCACAAGTCAAAATTTGATTTGACATTTGATTGTATACGCTGCATTAGTTAACTGAATATAAAGTTTAAAATTATTATTCAGAGAGAAGAAACATCATACTCTAGTAAATGGGTTTATGAATAATATTTTGAAAAATTCCTGGCACTAGGATTAGAGGAGCTGATTTCAAGCCCTACGTCTCATGGGCTATCTACAATGTCTATTTTTGGAAAAAATTACCTGTGCTCCTGACTAATGAGCTACTATGAAAATCAAAGGAAACAAAAGTAGATTGAAAAGTATTATTTAAAACTGAAAAATGAAGCACTATCCAAATAATATGGCTCATATCCAAATATTTTAGATTTACTTATCAAAACAAATATTCATGATTAGTGCTGAATGGTCTTCAGATTGATTTTTAACTTGAATGATTTGGATGAAACAGACTCAAGAGATAAATCTATATATGATCTTCCAGATACATGAAGCAATATGCGTATCTATTAAATATAGATTTCTTTCCCATAGAATAAATTTTCTTCTAGAAATTATGTATATTCCTAGATAGCAACTTAAAAAGAAAAAAGTCTTTACCTTCACAGTCAAGTCCTCTTTACCTAGTGTAATGTGGACTTGAATAGGTGGGTAAGCACCTTTGTCAGCATGGTGCTCCATTGTCGCTCTCATTGCATTCTGAAACACATCAGGGTTACATGAAAAACACAACGGTAAAAAGGGAGAGAAACTAATTATAATTTTCAACACATGTACTATTTGAAGTTAAAAAAATTAATCCATACTAAAGAATCATAATTCTTATAACCACATTTAAAGAATTGCTTTTAAAAAATTATTGTCAGTTTTGGAGCACAGTGAGATATTCTGGTATAAAGATTCCAACTAAATTCTTCATATTTTTCAAACCAGATTTCTCAACACATTTAACTAATCTATATTAATGCAGAAAATTTTGCCCAAATATTTTCATAATTTTAGTCAATAATGAGCAATTTTTATTTTTGAGAACAGCTCAACCTCTATTTTTTAAATTTTAATATAATAGTTTATTTTTGCATAACTTTGTGCCTTTTTCCATCTCAATTCAGCCTCTTCTTTTAAGAAACATTGTGTTAAGAAATAAAGGTTTCAAGTACTAGTATTAACTACAGTGGTCTTATGATGAAGAAACAAATTCAATTTACCATTAGTTTCAAACTAAGAATATTCACATTGTAAAACTATTTTGATCAGTTTCTAAAGGCTACCGAGTACACAAGCTAATATGTCATAAACACTAAACCCTAATATTAGGGTTAGATGAGTTAAAAAGGCAAAAGATGGGGCTGCATTTGGAAACAGGGGTGTGAGGCCCAGGCACACCAATCAGCACTATTAAGTGTTTTCCTGAGAAGGAGATTTTATCATTTGTACCAAAGGTTATTTAAGATTAGGTTCCAGATGGAAGTCATTGTTATTGACTTTATGTAGAATCTGTTATATGATATGGTAATGTTTCTCTTATGAAGCATCATGAAGCACAAGATCTTTATGTCAAAGAAAAAAATAGTTTTAATGCTCTAAATGTCCATTACTTGTTGATTTAACTACTTAGATTAGGTAGTAGATTCAATCTTAGAACCTAATCTTTTGTTCCAATTCTTAGAACAAAAGAGCATTCTTGAACAAATGCAGTTTTTCTGTATTTTAGTATATTTTTGTTTCTCATTAGCAAGCTGAAAGCCACTTCTTTCTACTAGCTAGCAGCTGGCTGAAAATATAACTAAAACAGAGAGTTTTCAGGTTTGATTTAGAGCAGTTATTTTCAGTCACAAGGACATGTACCACTCCTCATCCCTCACTTTTCTTTCTACCAGCAAGTGCCATTGGTATGTCACTGGGGAAAAAACATACTAGCATAATTTTACTTAGTTTTCAAAATATGTTGCAATGAGTAAATATTACAGTGGAAGCTCTGTAAGTCACTATGAGTGGCTTTTTCAAAAAAACAACAACATGTAATAGTGGGACCCTGGGCCTAATTTAAGGATGGAAAGCTGATAATCACTTTTTGAATGTTCTGTTTTGTAAAGATAGAAATATAACTTTCCTGAGCAATCTACATGTGCTTCTGCTGCTCCAGTCAGTACATTATTCCCAATCTTCATAGTAAGCTGGAGAATACAGCCCTCATTTTCAGAAGAGGGAACTGAGTCTCGCAAAGATTGAGTACCTTCCATTAAGCCACCCACATATTAAGTGCCAGAACTGGAATTCAAATCCAGGCTTTTCTGACCCCAAAGCCTGAGCTGACCACTACAAGGAGGTGCCAGTCAGAACTGGCAAAAGGCTGGTCATGGAATGACATCTTTTAATGAAACTGAGGAAAACCCAGTAGAAAACTTTCAGTGCTGATTCCTAATCTCAGGAAAGAGCTGATAAAGTTTATGTAAGACTGTTTTACAAACCTTGAAAAGTTCAAACACCATGTGATAGAGATGGGATGGTACATAAACCACTTGTATTGGCTGTCCTGGTGATTTTGCTAAAGAGCAGAAGAGAAAAATATAAAAGTACAGAGAGAAGTGCTTAAAGCATTTCTGATAAACTGTGTAGTGATGAAAAGAAAACACTTAGTATGGAGAACAGTATAATTTGGGGGAAAACGTCCACAGCAGCTCTTCACTGTACTTGAGTTTAGCCCCATGCTCACATGGATTTATAACTGCCAGTGACCAGTGTATGTCCCGTTGTTGTTCCTGAGACGCTGCACAGCAATCTAACCACTCATCTTCCATTTTTCTCAATGACAGTGAATTTTTTTAAAGAACACTCAACCTTAAAGTTAGAATTTTACTTGCCAAGAAAAAAGTTAAGAGTCTACAAATTTCACAGTCCAATTCTGATGGACACACCTTTTAAAAAGCCATTTTAAAAAATGTTCCACATCACACTACGTAATGAAGAAAGAAGTCCTATTTGTGTTCAATTTCAGGCATCTGTTCTATTTCAGGCATAAATCTGAAATAAAAATTTAAGCTAGCATCAATTTACCAAGGGACACTAATTCCAAACTTAAATCTTACATAGTACATTTGGGGGTGGGGAACATAGTATGTAAAATATAACCTAATCCCATGAATCAAAAACAGGGCTCTCTGAATAAACTGCCCTTTGGGAGTAGCAATAGGACTCCTGGAAATTGCTCCTAGCAGTTCAATTTCCCAAACTATCACTTATACATTGTGATTTTTATTTACTGAACAGTATATGGACCAAAAAGTTAATATGACTTTAGAAAAACGCCCAGCAAATCTTTTTTCTTCCACTGCTTTCTCACTGTAAGGTTTAGAATGCAGCTTAGTAAAAAAGTACTTAATTTCACTCTTCTTAGTGTGTCATCTTAATTTTGAAAATAATTTTTCCTGTATTAAACTATTCTACCTCTGGGAAAAACAGACTTTAACAGTCTCCTAAGATACATACATTATCCTATCTATTGTCCCAAAGGCAATAGAGTGAAAAGAAAATCACCAGTGACAAACAAATTTGCCAATAGATGACCACCTTCTCTGTTACACTCCCCACTCTTTTACTTCCTCAAGAAAAAGGGTTTACAACTTAGGAAGTAGCATTCTTAAAAATGCAAACCATATTGCTGAAAGAGCATATAAAACTCAAATGTAATTTTCACAGAATCATTATTTTCTGTGACTAACCAGAAAACCAAAAAGGAACAAAGAATCAATGATATTAATAAAATTATAAATAAGGAAAATGGGGAAGGCAAAACCAAAATAAAATGTTTTTCAGAAAGAACACAACTAACTACACACACACTTTAACATGTCTCTCTGCTTTCCCTCAACTCTCTTTGCAATAGAGGCTCATAAGAAGTTCATTTATATATAAAAAAATCTAGATTCTCCTTATCATCTCTTCTTAGGTAACCATAAAACTAAATATTGAGGAAAAGAGAATATAAGGCTTACCATTTAGTTCTTCAAGTTCTAGTTCAGGAGAGTTAATATAATATAAATCACATAGACGCCTAGCATTCTCATAGCCATCTAGTGTGAATCAAAAGAAAAAAAAGCAGTAAATAGGTTTACCTTTTTTCATGGATTAAGATGATAACAGTACTGAACAAATCAATATTTTAAATTCTAGAGGAGAAAACTGACTTTGATAATTTTTAAATGTGATAGGACAAAGCCTACCAGCCATAAAGGAAATCTGACAGATATAATTACAAAGCAAAAATATTTGTATGGAAAAAAAGACACCATAAATGAAGTAAAAAGAAAACAGCAAGTTATAGAAAATACTTACAATGCACATGACCAAACTTTAGATTTGGAGAAAGTTTAGGAAAGAGACTCATTCACTTTTTGATACCTTTCTAGATGTATCAAAATTTAAAATGCATGTTAAATGTTTTTAATTCTAAACATCTTGCCTTTTAAAACACTAGAAAAAATCAACACTATCTAACAATATTCAATGTAGTATTTTTGGTAATAGAAACAAATTTTAAAAACCTAAATGTGCATCAATAGGAAGATAAATTAATACTTTCTGATACTTCCAGCCCAACCATTTAGAAACTGGGGTATAGCTACATGCACTCAGCATGACATAATGTCTGTAAACTTGTAGAAAAAATATGCACAGAATCCCTCATTTTCTAAAAATCAAAAAACAATGTAAAGCCAACAATTATGTATGTGTATGAAAATATATGTGGTATAAACAGGAAAAGATGTGAAAATGCAAACATAATTATTATGACTTATGGGTCCTAGTGAAGAGAATTAGAAAAGAGGGAGAGGAAACTTGAATTTTTTTTAAGTGAAACAGATACCTTCCAATATTACCAAATCTTGCTTTGCAAAGCATTATATCAAAAAAAAAAACCAAAAAAACAAAAACACTTCATTCTATACATAATGCACAGTTAACATTATAAGGTTATTTTCAAAGCCATGCATTCGACCTTACCACTATCTTATGTTCGGCTTTATTCATAACAAGAGGTAACACTAACAATTTTGATTTTTGGAGACTTTCTAAAAGGTTAGAATTAAATTTTTACCTTTAATAACTTCAACTACATTGCAGTTTGGATTTATGCTTCCAATGTGCTTTCGGTGAGATAGGCTGCCTTTGCCCTTTCCACCAAACAATAAGGCTACCAAGAAATAAAAAACAAAATCAAAATAACTAAAATATCTAATGGTCTTTTCCAGATCTTAATACTGTTTCAATAAATAGTACAGCAAAAATAAATATTTTCCTTAAACATACACATGGTATTTTGCATGATTTTAAATATAAGCATTCAATAAAAATACTTCCCTTTTATGGCAATCTCCATACTTTACATATACAAAAAAGTTTATACTTTATATATACAAAAAAGTGAAATTAAAAACATTCCTTAAAAGGAAGTTTTCTAAGCAAATTTAAAATATACCAAAACATTTTCCTTAGTTTTTTTTCTTTGACTTCTGGACACTTACAGTGTTGATTGAGTAACATTCTAATAGAAATGCGACTCATGTAGAAACGATCCAAAAAGTACTGAACATTCTGGCTAGTGACAGGATCTACCCCGAAGCTCTCCTTATATTCAATCACGCCCTGGGCCATTGTGGGAATAACATCATTATGTCGGTTCCTGATCCGTATTACAGTATCTGTAAAGCTAAACAAACCCATCTGTCAAAACAGTCAAATAGTTTGTTAAGTGAATTTAATACTAAAATCCAAGGTAATCAATTATTTTAGGCAAGAAGCCCTTAATTCACTAAAACACACATCAGTGTGAGCTTTTCTACACTTATTTAAATAGACTTCAGGTTACAAAATATGTCAAATCTATAGAGATATACAGATTTCCAAAATAAAGCTTTCGAAATTTGTTTTTTTGGCTGCCACCAAACAATCCAAAAATGTTACGGGCTTTTTTTAACCATTACCAACTGAGATCATATGAGCACTAATTACAAACATAGTATTTCCAGGCACATTCAGAAAAAGGGGTAACAGAGCACTTGCTTCTATGGAATATATTCTATATGGAATGAAGATGAATGAGTCCATAAAGCCTGTCTGGTTTAGAAAGGTTTCCTAGGGTTCCAAGAGAGAACCAATTAGAACAGAGAAGTAGAAATGAATTCTAATTTCATTCATCTCATGAGTTTTATAAAAATGGGACAGAAAAGGAGATATGCTTAGAAGAAAAACATTTAAATAATCTATAATTTATTTCTATCATTTAGAAGACATTATCATATAGTTAACTTATAGAAATGAGAAGAAAGTAGTCTTAATTATGAAGTAACAAAATCCATCTTGTAACATATGCACCAGAATTAACACTTCTGAGTGTTTTCCCATTCAAAGTCATCAGCTTGAGTACTATTAACTTATTCCAATGATACTTAAGCTCAAAACATTTTTGGAATTCGTAGTTTGTAATCTGCTTTGAAACTAAACTGCCAATCCAAAATACAAACAACACAACTCCTCAAAAGTAACAAGCAACTCATCATTCTAGTCACTCTTCACTCATTTATTTCAACTCTTGTTAAAACCAAAAACAGTTTTATCCTGTTTGACTGTTCAGCTTACAACTTAGTTTGGGCTCTTACCATTTTCAAAAAGTTCTATAGTATAATGTATACTTTCCAGTAAGACCAGTGGGTCCAAATTCTGGTCTGAGATCTGCTGGGTACGTGATCTTAACGCAACCTTAAGTTCTTTTACAAAGATAGCCTTCTCTCAATCAAATTGTTTTAAAGATTAAATGATATCATTTGCATAAAGTATGCTTCATACCTACACACAGAATAAATTCTTGATATTATTTTCAGAGCAAAATCATGTTTAAAATATGAAGTGCTGGGCCCTCCCTGGTGGCACAGCGAGTTGAAGCACAGCACTAAGAAGCTAAAGCCACTTCAGCACAAGTTCGATGCCTGCCCCGGAGGTGACCCACAGGGTGTGACAGACCTCTCCTGACCTGTCCACTGCTCCCCTCAGCAGTGTACTTTGTCAATTCTGCCTGTTCTGCTCTCCACTCTGTCTCTGGTGAATACTCTCACTGCCCCTGTACCTCTGGCCTGTATCCCAGTTCTATATGCATAACTAATCTAAAAAAATATATGAAATGCTGGCATTACTTTTAAAGATAGCAAGAAAGAATGTATAATAGACTCAGAACAAGAAAAGAGGTGGCATTTAAGTTTTGAAATAAGCAAGGAACTACTGCTGCAGGAACTACTCGAGTTTATTAATTCTCCAGTTATTACATTATTACTTAAACTTACAGAACACAAGATCATACACTAAAGACCCACAGACTTGTTTTTGTAGGCCTTCAGTGTTTTTTAAACTTTTTAGCTGCTAATCTTTCGAAATTGAAAGATTTTACATTAAAAAAATCTAAATTTGTACTTTTTCTTTAAAAAAAAAAAAGATTTATTTATGCACACACAATCTGAGGTGTAGGCCAGAGGTGTGGAGGGTGACAAGGTTCATCAGAGACAAAGTTGGGAGCAGAACAGGCAGATAGATCTACCGAAATACACTGCAGGGGGGAGCAGCAGGTGAGACAGAAGTCTGCTGTGCCATGTGGTTATCTCCCTGGTCAGGGATCAAACTTATGGCTCAGTGGCTGGCAAATGCTTGACAGCACTGTGTCTTTAACCCCTGCACCACCAGGGAGGTCGACTTGTAGTTTTTTTTTTTAACCCTGCCTACCTTTGAGCAGTGATCACCTGAAGCCAAAAGCAGTTCTTCTTTAGAAGCATGTACTCTCTAGGTGAATGGCCCCCACTAGTCTGCTATGGTTCAGGTAGCTCTGAGCCACACCTGGATTTCCATTCATCATTACATGAACTATCTTTTCTTAGAATAGGTGAGAGGAATGCAACATGTTTCTTATGCCCAGACTTACCTATATGGGGTGCTACAAACATAATGTTGCTGAGTACTGGGAAAATAAAGATTAACCAATTTTTGAAGGACATAAAAATTGTGTTCCAAACAGATCCAAAATAGTGTACTTACTCATAAATAGTTTTAGCAACCTCAGCACTTTTATCCTTAAAATCAAGCAGTTCCTGAAGGCTCTGGATATACCTAAAAAGCAAATCAATAGGGTAATTTCTTTATTTGCTGAAAGTTCAACATTGTGAGAATGTTCAAAAGACATTTTAAACATGTTTAATTTAGAAGAATGCTGTAAATTATGGTTAAAGTAGGATTTCTATAATCATTCCCATTCAAGCTAAGTGCCTGGCACAAAGTTGTAGAAGCATAGGTTAAATTTGGAATGGAACCTATTTTTAAGATTTTCTAATTCCTTATTTAAAACTTCTACTTTCTATTAAAGTTATTAAATTTCTTAAGTTTATCAATATACATTGCAGTATAAAAACTGATTGTCATGAGAACTGAATCTGCCACCAACAACTATGTACAAATGACTTTCAACTTCCATTAGGCTCAGGAAAATTTGGAGGGCAGCCTACCTGTATCTAAGAATCTAATTAAATGTCTGTGCTTTTAAAACTGTACTTTTAGAAGTTTATAACTAAAATCTATAATCTAAATATAATTCTTTCAAATGGAATTGAACAAAACACTAAGGCCATGAAAATGTAGATTTTTTTTTTTAAAGATTTATTTATTTATGCATATAGAACTGGGGAGCAGGCCAGAGGTTCTGGGGGGGGGAGAGAGGACTCACCAGAGACAGAGTGGGGAGTAGAACAGGCAGATCGACGAAGTACACTGCTGAGGGGAGCAGCGGGCGGGTCAGGAGAGGTCTGCCACGCCATGTGGTCACCTCCGGGGCAGGCAGGAATCGAACTCATGCGGAAGTGGCTTTAGCTTCTCAGTGCAGTGCTTTAACCCTCTGTGCCACCAGGGAGGGCTGAAAATGTAGATTTTTAACTTGTGTAACAATTCAAAGTGGCAAATGAGTTGTTATAAGAAAGAGCAAAATGATGAGGGTCATATGACTTTCTCAAGGTCATGCTGCCAAACACAGTGGCAGTGCAAGACAAGAACTACCAGTGACGTTTAATAAAGTGCTACCTCTCCTGGCTTGTCACATGTGATTTACAACCTCCCTTATTCAGCAGTCATCCAGGGGCAATGAAAGTGTTCAAAAAACTGTAAGTGTGCATGTTGGTTTGGAAAGCCGTTTCTGATGCTGGGTGTGCTGCTCCCCACTCTGTCTCTGCTGAATCCTCTCACCCAGCCCCTGCATCTCTAGCCTACACCCCGCTCTTGTACACATAAATAAAATCTCTTCTAAAAATAAAGCATTCTAAAGTCAAGTGATTCTGATAGCTACTATTTTGCTTTAACCATTAATTTTTCTTTTCATTGGCAAGAAAACGATGCTCTTTATTCTGGAGATATCTGAGTACCGACAAAGTGTTTGGCACATCCAGTTTCAAATGCAGGCTATTCTAAAAACACAAGAATAAGCTAAGTTTCTAAATAAATGCCTCTTTCTTAACTTATTTTTTTTATATATTTGAACTAGATAGGATATTACATAAGTAGAAACCATATATTCCTTTTGCTGTTGTTTTTTAAATTACCTTTTGATCAGCTTCTGCAACGTATGTATTACCTACAAAGGAAAGCTAATAATTGGGAAATGTCTTGCAGCTAAATGTTTCCCATTTAAGACTTAGCTGTGGCCAACTCTTTTGGCTGAAACATATAGTGCTGAAGAGAACAACTCAAACTAGTAACATTAACATGAAAAGCTGAATGTAGATGGCCACTAAGTATGCACACGCTTAATACCTCTCATCATTTTCTGGAAAAAGAGTACAAGTTTTTAATGATTCTAAGAACTTCTAAGTTATTTTGAAATGGTAGGATAAAGTCTTTAACTCTGTGACTTACAGATATTTCAGTAAACAAATTCAACTGACAGAATATAAATACACTTTTTTTTATTCTTTTTTTTTTTAAAGATTTATTTATTCATATAGAACTGGGCTATAAGCCAGAGATGCAGAGGGTGAGAGGATTCACCAGAGACAGAGTGGGGAGCAGAACAGGCAGATGGATGAAGTACACTGCTGAGGGGAGCAGCGGGCGGGTCAGGAGAGGTCTGCCCACGCCATGTGGGTCACCTCCGGGGCAGGTGGGAATCGAACTCAGGCGGAGGCGGAAGTGGCTTAAGCTTCTTAGTGCTATGCTTTAACCCGCTGTGCCACCAGGGAGGGCCCTAAATACACTTTTTAATAGATTTCATTATTCTAACCACAGCAAAAGTATCACAAGTAAATCTAGTTTTGAATCCTAGTTCCACTGTGAGTGGTATAACTTAAGGTAAAGAACATAACCTGAAGATGCTTCCATTTCCTCCTCTGTAAAATAGAGAATAACATGTACTAGCCAAGGGTTATTGAAAGCATTAAAGGTAAAGGTATATAAAGCCCTAATCATCGATAAAAAGATATTTTTATTATAACACAACATCCTTGCATAGTTAATACAAATCTTAAACTTTAGGTCTGTTTTTCTGTGCAATTCTGTTTTTTCCAAAACCAAGGAATGGTAGTGTCCAGACATACTCTTCAAAGGGAGGGGAAATACTACTACTATCTTCAGATTCCACTGAAGAGTAATCTTGAATAAAGTACACAAGCACAATGCAAACACAAGACAGGCATCTTACCAGCCTTGTACCAACTGAACTGATGGAGTTCTGAGAAGATTATCTGGAAGAAGACTTATTTCTTTCATTATATTTGCCAATCTAACAGGCAACTCTTGCCGCAGAAACATAAATGAGGTCTTTTCACAAGCATTCACCGATCCTGAAACCAAACACAACAGGAACAACAGTAAGTAGAAGCCAGAAAGCTGCAGAAGCCAACATGACAAGGTCACCATAATGACAGGCAAGGAGGAGGCAAGAGAAGAAGGAACCCAGTACTCTGGGTTGTGAGGTGGCCCAAATGACTTTCTAATTCCTGACATTCCAATTGCTCTGTAGAGCACTGAAGACATTTTCCAGGCTCCATTACTTGTATCTTTATTGTGATCTCCCATTTAGAACTAAGGCAACCTCAGCAAGTCTGAGCAAGGTGCATAATGCAATTAACAAGACCTGCAAAAGCCTATAACCTGTTGCTATCATTAAAAAAAATCTGTTTCCTAAGAAGGAATGACCTGTCTAAGAAACAAATTTTGACATGTTCATGGGCAAATTCATTTATTGTGTACAGGATTATTACACAAATTGTCATAAACAAAACCTAAATGAAGAGACAGGGTTTCAGGTAACAGAAAGCAACAAGTATCATTGCCTGCTAAGCAGCCATCTTCAAGTTTCTCCCCAATCCCATCGATTGTCAGATTCCTGGAAAGAAGCCTTCAGCTCTCTCTACTTCTGTATCAGGCTGCTCAGCAGAACAGCTGCAGACTGTCCTTTGGCAAGCAGTTCCGTTTAAGTTAAATTGAAAGTCCTGTTACTTCAGTAATGCATCAAACTCACTAACTGAACCTTACTGTTTTAGCAAGAGTCATTTTAAAGGAAAAACAAAGGGCTTTGGGCCAAAAGTAATTGCCAGTGTAAGTCACAATTTTAAGATAAAGGTTATGACGAGGCCGATATCTTTCAGCTCCAAAAGTGATCCCTTGGTGACTTTATAATACTCACAATGCAGATAACAATTTTTTTCTTCTCCAATTTTACTTTACTAGAGCTTTCCCTTCACCCTCAGCGCCCCACATGAACAAAGTTAAATGGCTAACTCTGCACTCTGCCGCTTCCTTTGTTGAGCAAACCAGAAAGCACCCATCTGAGGAAGAGGAAAAGTGGGCAGACTGTTGCTTCAATAGGGGTGAAATGTGGCAAATTTCACAGCGTCCAGTACTCATGCACTTCGCACGGGCTCAAGACCTGCTGACCAAGACGAGCTGTTGTGGAAACACCTTGGCAAAGAAAACATTTTATGAAAACATTGGGCCGATTATATGCGAAGCTTCCCTTATCATCACATCAATTTTACGCAATCATCAAGGGCAAACTGTGCATTTATCATCGCCCCACACGATGCCAACACGACTCCCGGAGGTGTCCACACACTCGCCACTCACGAGGCTCGGTGGCTCAGGCGTCTGGCCGCGAGCGCCGACCTGCACACGCGCGACGAAAGGCGACGGTCGTTCGGCCCGCGGCCCCGGCTTTGTTTTTCAACAATACCCAGGAAGAGGGCACAGGCTCCCACTTATTTACCCGGCGGCCCGCGCCAGCACCCGGGCACAGGGATCCATCCGTGGCCGAAGAAGGAAGCAGCCGCGGCGCCGGTGAGAAGTTGGGGAGGGGGGTGCGCTTCAAGCGAGAGGGGGCCAGCACGCACCCCGAGGGGGCCGCGGCCGCAGCTCCCCGCCCCGGGCGGCGCACAAAGGCCCGAGGCCCCCGCCGCACTCACCGAAGTCCAGGAATTGCTTCATGGAGAGCGGGGACGGCGAGAAGCGCGCGTAGAAGTCCACTTGGCCCGGAACGCCCCGTTCGGGCGCCGGGCCGGAGCCCGCGTCCAAGGTGAG